GGCCACTGGAAACCACTTTGGTGTGCCCGAATGTTGGGTGGGGTGTGGTCTCAGGGAATCACTAGGGTGGGGCAGATAAAGTTGAGAGCCAGTTTGATGGAGACTCAGATGTGGCATCTGTGTGTGCATTCACAGGGAAGGGAAGGGCATAACAAAGGAACAATGGTTTCCACCAGTTCTTTTGTCCCTGAGATTGCTGCCCTTCTACTCGTCACCCTGAAGCTAGACAATTTAGTTTCTCCCTATAAATCTCTGACACCTTTTGAGCTGCTGCCCTAGTGCTGGTGTTCAGATCGAGTGAGTTCATCAGCAAATAAGTTCATGCAGAGTCCCACTAAGAGGAGCACCTGGGACTCCAGCCACCCTCAGCCACAGTCTCTGCTGGTTTTCACAGCCAGCAATTGTGGGGGCTTCTCTTTCCAGCACTGAAATCTGGGCTAGAGTAGGGACCTGTAGCTCCTCAGGGGGGGAGCTCTGCAGTTGAGATATCCCTCCTGATTTTTAATGGTCACATTCTGGTGCGGGTCCAGCCCGTACCATGTCTCTGCCCCTCATACTGGTCTCAAGATGGCTTCTTCTGTATGTGAGTAGTTGTAGGGCTTTGGTTCAGCTAGACTTCAGGTGATTGTTAATAGTGGTTGTTATGTGGTTTAGTTGTAATTGATGTGGTCCCGAGAGGAGGAGAGCACAGTGATTACCTACTCTGCCATCTTTTTTTTTTTAAGTGGTCAAAAAAACACTTTTAATCATTTAAAGCACTTCCAAATATATTAATTTATCTCTTCCAGGATACACAATAATTTATACTATGGTTTTCTTCTGGGAAGGGAAGCAGAGTGGCTGTAGAAAAGCTGTGGGAGGGATGTCTCCCATCTTGGTACCTTTGGAATTATGAATCCATGTAAGTGTAATATTAACAAAAAATAAAGATTAAAAAAAATCTATATGCTCCTTCCATGTGTTTGTAGATGGAATAGAATTAATATGATTCTTAAATTTCTGTTTTATTATCTTTTTAAGAATTCCCCTCCTCTATATTATATGGGTCATTTGTAAAACAAATATTTTTAAGTAAATGACTCCCTGTGATACATTTTAATGCAACTTACAACATGTATATATTACTCAAAAGGCAATAGTTTTATCTGGGCAATGTGGGACATTCAGAAAAATATAAATTTGATCTCTAGCTTTGGTAAGCTTTTTTTCTTTTTTGGTGATAGAACACATGAAGAGATATAAATAATGAGGCCACCTAATAGTTGTGCATATGAAATTATTACTGAAATGCCTAGCATTGACTGAAAGAAGTAATCTAATAGATGGAGGTCAGAATGGGCTACAGCATAGAGAAAGAAGGCTTCATGCAATGTTTGTGTTAGTTAGCTCATACTGAAGTGCAGTAACAAATCCATCCTAATAATTCAGTTACTGAAAGAATAATATATTTGTTTATTTCTCATGTAGCAGTTCAGGGTGGGATTTTCGTTATCTGGGTAGCTTTCTTCCGTGGTTCGAAACACACTCAGATGGGCAGTTGCTTTGCCTCCTTCACTGTGCAGTATCTTTGGTTTCTCAGGCATCTCTCTGAGACAGCCCGAGAGCGAAGAGCATAGGGAAGCAGGAGAGCCTTTTATATGAATCTATATATTGTAGATAAGTCTATATACCCCTGAATCCTGGAAGCATGCATATCGCCCTCTCTCATTCCATTTACAGTAGCTCAGCAACAAGACCACAGCTCACTGCACGAGACAGGCGCATGCAATCTGGTTGGCCACCACATACTTGAGCTTTCCATGGCAATGGGAGGAGAAGGGTCTCTTCTGTTGGAAAGCTGACAGTCTCTGTCATAAATATGAACCATCAGTGATTTGGAGGAATGAAGAGGAGGAAAAATGGGTATAGCCAGTAAGGAAGAACGATACGAATCACCAGGCTGTTAAACCTCATCAGGCATCCTTTATCTGATAAACAAAACTTATTCTAGAGGACTTCTAAAGTTGTTCTAAAAAAAAAGCTTTTAAGTTTCTGTGGTTCTGGGAGCTAACATTCAATGGGCATCATGTTCAGCTAGAGCAATATGTTCATGTTGGAAATGGTGCAAGATAACTCTTACATTATGTGGGTAGAGTGGGGTCTTGACTAATCACCATATTGTACTGAAGAGTTTTAAAGATCAAGTGAGAAATATTGGTCAAGTACCTACAACATAGCAGACGCTTTGCCAGGAGCTTTGGAGGACACAAAGAAGTTAACTCATTTTGTTTTCAGAATTGATTACATACTACTTATAGGGGAGCTGAGTTAGATGAGGAAAGAGGAAGATTGAAAATGGAGCAGCATGGGATATGTTCCCGGGGTTCTAGACTTCACAGTATGGGGAAGGAGATGAAGGAAAACATGAAATGACCCTTGAACATCTTCTACAAGATTTTTATGAAGAAAAACATAATCTCTAACATGAGCTTGTTTCCCTGTGATTTGTCTCTTACAATTGGAGATATTAAATTTGTGTTCATTCAAAGTTCTGATTAATTAACTTGGGATTAACTACAGTTTTAGTGCAAATAAAAATGAATGACTCTATCCTCTATTTTATAGGCCAATTAATTAAGATTCTTTATGAGGTAAAATTGGATCTTTAGGCAATTAAGGCATCCCATGCAATTTATCTATTTCTATGAAAATACATTCTCAGATGTTATAATCACTTGATAATTCTGCCAAATGTAGTATTCTACTGCTGTAAATTCTTAGCCAGCTATATTTCTAACATGTCCTGGGACTCTTATCTATGGATATAACAGCTCTATCTAGGCTTTATTTTTCTGTACTTTTAGTTTTTAAAGTTTTTGTGTTCTTAGACATATAATCCTGAAGATTTTGGAGAGACCATTTTCAGTCATTTTCATGTTTAGTTTTGGCTTCTGGATCATGTCTTGTTATAAAATCACTGCAATTATTATCTTTTTTTTTCTTCTTTTTTTGTCTTAAGTATCTGCTTCAATATACCTTTCTTATGTAACATAAGACCTGTGACTAGGACGCAGAGACGTGCAGTTCAGTTGGATTTGCTACTTAAGCTAGGCATGCCCTTTCCTCTGATGGGGCCTCAGTTTTATTAGTCTGTCAAGTGAGGAGGTTGAAATAGGAGATAATATAGGTTGCACTCTTTGAAATATTACTCTTCCATATGGTTGATCACTTTTCTTTATTTGATTATCAATCTATTAGTTTAATTTTTGTTTTTAAAAGGGGGGCAGTTCCTTTAACTTTTTCTTTTTTTTCTTTTTGAAAGTATTGTTAGAAGCTCATTTGAACCACATAATCTAGAGTGCTTATTTAAGATGTAGATTCTTAATCCCTGTGGCACATTCATTAAATCACACTTTCTAGGGAAGTATTTATCAGTTTTTAATGTATATACATACAGGTCACACAGGAATTTTGTTAAAATGAAAATTCCAATTCAGTGTGTGTGGGGTAGGGTCCGAGATTCTGCATTTCTAATAAGTTTACAGGTCATACTGCTGGTTGGCTGACCACATTTTGAATAGCAGGGCTCTCTAAGTCATAATGGAAGCTCTAACCCAGCAAAACCATGTCTTGAATGGAGACAGAATAGCCAGATATGAAATGTTTAAAATGTAGCAATCATGCCTAAAATGTAGCATCTGGGTCATATAAAGTAAAATGTTGTGGAACAAAAATTAAAGAATATGAATGTAATCTGTATAATGTCCTCTTATGAGTGGCCATATCAGAGAAGCACACTCATTGTTGCTGTATTATTCTAGATTGTGAGAATGTGTCAAAGTTCCAAGTACTAAGCAGTAAGAAGAAAATTGTTTCTTTTCTATGATTGCTGGTTTACTGCATGATGGCCACACTATTTAGCTCTCATTTCCTTTCTACAGATTTTGCAGAACCTGTGGCTGGTGTGCTCATCTTGTTTTTAGTCATAGAAATATGGTCTCTTTTTTCATTCAGTGTGGTGATGAGTAAAGAGATTGTTTCTGTTGAGGTTAGAAAAGGTCTTCAAACTACTTTGTTTTCTAGTAAACGACAGGTCTAGAGAGACCCTGAGAAGATGCCTGACCTCCCTGAGGATTAAATTTCTGCTAGTGTGTGTGTTCTTTTTTAAAATTTTTAACGATTTTTTTCTTGAGGTATACTGACATATAACATTATGTTAGTTTCATATGTACAATCTATTAGTTTAATTTTAATTTTTAAAAGGGTGTATTGCATCCAATTTGAACAGTTTGTGACTGGGTATAAAATTAGCTTACATGAACAGCCTTCTCCTCAACTGCAGCACTCAAAGGCAAAAATAGTTTTGTAGAAATGTGTGCATTTGCATGTTTAAATGGGATCTGATTTATATTGTGCCAAGCACCATTACTGACAATTATGTAGGCTTTGAAATGAAGTTATGACTTAAAAATATATGTGGCATATGTTCTACGCCAATTAAAAAACATGCCTAAGGAAACTAACTTTCTTTTTTTTTTTAAGCCTGCTAAAATCTAAGACTCATGTAAACTGATTCAGTATTTTTTTCTTTGTTTGGATATAATGTTTATATCACTCAACTTTTGACCATCAGATAGTTTTAAATCACATTTCATGTTGTAATAATAATAATAATGATAATGATGATAATAATAATAATAAACAACACTAATGGCAGCTCACACTTATAGAGTTCTTACTAGATGCCAGGCTATGTGCCAAATGCTTTATATGAATTTTCCTTTCACTCTACTTTATAACCTATGTAGTCAAACTGCTGTGTTTAATATGTACATATGAAAAATCTTAATGCTCAGTTGATATTGCATGTGTACACACACACACATACACATACACACAATAAACCCTTGTGGGAAAAAGAAACAAGAACAGCTTTAAAGAAAAAAAACAAACCCTGAAGTCATGTGACAGATTTAGCAAATTCTTTTCATTTACATAGAAATGTGTACACATACTCTCTCTGTACAGTACACAGAAAATTCTAAGTATATATACATATATGGTTCTCACATATTTTACAATAAATAGTATGTTAATCTTGTTTCTAGATGAAAATTAAAAGATGTCTCAAAATGTTTCACACCAACCACAAAATTACAAAAACACCTGATGAACTCAGAACAAAAATTTCAAGCCTGTACTACCACACACTAAGCCTAGTACAATTTTTACAAAAGACAAAACCAAACACTGAGCAGATATCAGCAGTAAAAGGAAAGGGATGGCGATGCAAAATAGAGAGCTGAGCTGTTGGTTTTCTGAACAATGTGGTTAAGAGTATTTTTGTACGTTAGGACTGGTTTTCCTTCAGTTATCAATTTAATGTTTTACTTTAACTGATATTTTACAGATAAGAAGGGAGGGAAAGGTTAACATCTAATGTAAAAAGAATAACCATTCTGAATTCTAGAAATGTTTTTCCTGGTCACCCGGACCCTCCTTTTATGCTAATACCAAGATCATCCAATTCTGTAATCCAGGATGATAGTTCATTCCCTCAGAGAAGACGGGGCAGGCACCGATTGTGAAGAAACATTAATTTGTAAATAATTTCAAAAGCCTGGTGAGTCAGGTATCTTGATTATTAGTACTTAATAATAATTAATAATGTTTAAATATACTCTTTGTTTATACAAAGAATTTGATCCCTCATTCAATTAAATTCAAGGAGAACTTAATCTGGGAGGTTAGAAATAATGAATCCATAATCCTGGAAATTTCTCCTTCCACTTCCAGTTTTTTTGCTTTTTTTTCGTATTTTAGCCGAAGAAAACAATCACTTTCTCTCAATTTCAGAGTTGTTCTACACATGTTTGTGAAAATCAGAATACCAAACGAACAGAATGAGGGTATAGGTTATAGGGTGAATACAGATTTATGACATTTTTGACAAGCTCGCAGCACTGAATTTGGCAAACGAATCTAAAAACATTATGATCTTCATTATTGTTGAATTGTCTTCTATTCAGATTTGTTTTCCCAATACACCAATATTACCATTCAGGCGAGAATCATGAGGGCTAAGTGTTTAAAACACATTTGCTCAACTCTAGCTCAGATAATAATGTATTTAGTTCCACTGTGGCACTGTAACTTCACACACGAGTTTTGAAACAAGTTTTACCCCATAGTATCTCAAATCAGTAACAGCACAGATGTAGGGGAAAAGATAGCAATAAAAAAAGGATTCTATGTCAGATGTGATTTATCTATCAAATACAATCATTTCTTTTACTTTACTGAATCTGCTATTTTTAAGGTAAACTTCCAAAACATATTTCAAGGCAGGCTCAATTCAAGAGCAATGGTTATCACATGCATAATTCGATTCTTTCTTGTTACATGTTGCTCCCATTGATTCTTCTTTTAGAGAAAGAATATTTCGAGGATGTAGCCATTCTACATGGAAGTGATGGCTTCATAAACAGTTTGATTCTTCAGATTAAGGTACTTATGATCAAAACAACCACATGTCACATTTAAAAATGTTTCTTTTTCTTCTCTTAAAAAAAAAAAAAAAGAAAATCTAACACGGAATTAAGATGCACTGCCAGAAACAAAAGGGATCCTTTACCGTGAGGAGCTGGGCTTAGTTCTTGGTCATTCTAATTAAAAGTTTATTCGTCGTCCTTCATTCTATCGCTATGGAAAGATTTCAGCCAGAAGATAAGTATGGAGTCTCACTATGGTAATTGTAGTCAGGGCAGACCTTTTGCACGAGTTTATAATCAACACTGTAAAAGGCAATGTAAATGCAAATGACCTTGAAGGGCTTGGAGCACAGCCAAGACACGTGGCTCTGAGTCTGCTCCTGGTAGCAGATCTTGGACGGGTCAAAGTTGCACAGGGCGGTCTTCTTCGCCCGATCTGTTTTTTCATACTCAATGCGACAATTGAAAGATTTGGACTCCTTGGTCTCCAAGGTCGACTGCGGGGAAACTTCAAATTCCACAACTTTGGAAGGGGGTACCAAACTCACAGAAACATTGCCCAGGCCTGTGGAATTATGTCGGAAATAAACACTGAAGGTTCCATTGCCATGGTCAACAATTTTCCCCGTGATCAGGAGGTTGAGTTTAACAGTTTTAATGTTGGAATGGAAGTCACCCCATCCAAACATTTTCTTAAATTTTCCCGTTTTTACTATTGGCCTCCGTTTAGTTCTTGTCAGTGGCTCCTGAACCTCCGTGATGTTGGCCAGCCAATCCCAGAAGTTTTCCATGCTGTCCGCATACGCCAAGTGTCCGGGCTTTGGGACCGGAGACTGTTTAACAAACAGGCGCAGGGGATTCATGACCCTTGAGTGCACCACGTTGGCGACCAATGTCCCCGGAGCATCTTTGTCTTCCCAGTCCAGCCCCTCTGTGGCATGCACCGCTGTTTTGCTGTCACAAAATAACTGTGCGGAAAGAAGAAAGAGAAATAAAGTTTAGGTTAGGCTTTGAGCACTCACGCACTGCAAAGACAAAGCACAAGGGAAAGTCTTGCAGTATTATTTTGATTCTTGCTAATAGAGCTTCACACACACAGCTGGGCTCAGCACTGTAACAAAATGAGCATTTAATTTCAAGCAATGTAAACCTGTGAGTACAAAAATGAAAATGATGAGATGAACAAAAGAATGTTTCATTTTAATGGGCTGATGTGGTTTTAGACTCTGTTTCCTAATCTTTATAATTCTATCTTTCCAGATTGAGGAAAGTAGTATATTTTGGTATCCCATTTGATAAAAACATTAAATTTGTGAGATCTTTCAAGTAGAAGACAACTCTAGAATGCTGAACGTTTCTCCCAAGGAGCTAGAAATACCTGAATATAAGATATTGATAAGTCTTAAATATATTTTGAAATATTAAGGATATTATTATATTCAAAGGCTTATGTCATATAACTTCATGGCTTTTGACATAATCCCATCTCAAACTGTAACAAAAAAGGAGCATGAATAGTAATAGAAAGTTTTAGTTGAAAAAAATAATTTCAAATTTAGTTGCCTTTAGAGAAACAAATAAATTGGAGATGCATATTTTGAATTAATTATTAGACTATATATGATATAATACATTTTATTACAACTGAATTACACCCTAAAAGAGTTGCTAAGAAAGAGTTATGTGCACATGGTTCATAGATTCCACAATATTTTGGTTCAAATGACACCCACAGAAACACAGCACTTTATCTGCATTTGGTTTTCCTTTTCATTATTTTTGTAGTAGTGTAAGAGTCACCATGATTTGTAAAAATCATTTAATTAAGTCAGTAAGGATTTTGAGGATAATTCATAATCTGTGAAACTATTGCTTGGAGTGAATATTTATAAATGAGTTATCAAGTCCAGAAAATACAGTTTCTAGTAGAAACACAGATAGCCTCTTATCTCTAATAGCACAAACCATGCTGGTAATGATTCTCTGGAAAACTGTCAGCATGATGAAATGGATGAGAAAGAAGTGAGGCTGTGTTTATGTACTGTTTCCCCAACTGTTTCATACTTGGCAAAGTACCTGGTAAAACTAGTCTCAGATTATTACAAGTATTATTGCTTTCAATCCAATTTTGAAAAACAAACAAACAAATGACATAGCCTCGATTATGCATGTTGCACTGGACTACATGGTAAAGTTTAATAACATGAAGTTATCTTTTACATATTCATAAAAGTTTAGAAGTTTAAGTTCTAATAAAGTTTTGTGAAAAGTGTTTTTACCTACACCTTGTCCCCAAGATCACTTTAGAGTAAAAAATCTGAGAATTTAAATGTATGTGTGGGTTTCCCTTTTTTTTTCTTCCTTTGGGAGGGGGAATTCATAATAATTATTGGCCCCTATGATTAATTTCCTGAAGACTCTTCTTCCTCTTTCTGGTATTTTCAAAAATTCTTTTTCCTTTACTTAAATTACTGAAGTTTGGTAGGGCAAATTGATAGGATGTACATTCTTACTATTTTGAGAACTTAAATCCATACTACCTGTTCTTAGGGGCTTACATATCCTTTTTCTTTTTACATATTATTTTTCTCCCCTGGTATTGAAAGACTGGCATTGAAAGGGGGATCATTACCTAAGATTTCTGGCTCAAAATATTCTGGGTATTTCTGATGCTGTAACTAGCTTTCTGATTTTGAACATTCTTAATTACAATGTGCACAAACCTCATTCAAATTAACTGATAAGAGCCCGTGGAGTTAATACTGGCTCCAGTTACGATTTGAGCTTCCTGAGAACTCATGCAGTCGGCCCAAGTAACGTAACATGTCCTGGCCTCTCTCTCTCCAAAGGTCCAAGGGCACACGGGCAGATAAGAAACCCCTGCAGCTCAAGGTTTAATTTCTCTTTTCTGTGACTATGATTCTTGTTGCCCAGAGCCTATTATCAATTTTTCACCTGTTTCCAGTATTTATGAGATGTACCTTGCTTGGTCAGTTCTAACAGGCACACCTTCCACTTGCTGAGAATCTCTGGTATACACTTTAATTCCTGGTCTCTACTCTCCTATGTGGTACAATTTTGTAAACTCTTCACTCATTCCTGCCTTCCTTCCTCTCTTTCATAGGGTAAACTCCTTCTGAAAATTTTCCCATTTAGCTTGCTTTTAAAAAAAAATCTCGATTCTTACCTTTATACACCATGCTGTTGATTAAATATTTTTTCACTCGCAAGTATGACAACAATCTTTGCTACCATCGGCAACATGCTTTTTATCCCCTTAAGATGTTTGTTTTTCATTACACGTTTTCCTGATTATTTTCCTCCTAAATAATTTTTCTTGATTTAGCACTTTGTTTGAATGTCTTCTTACCTTTCCATTATTGAAAACCTGTAAACATTGAACCCATCATTCAATGATAAGTAAGTTTAAAATCATGTAACATCTTAAGTTAACTGGTGTTGGTACATTTTGATGTCCCTTAGGAGAGAGATATTATGAGATCCTTCACTTATCTCTAGAACTTCTGCTGTGATGATTCTTAGATTATTCAATGATAATAATAGCAAAAATGGCCATTTACTAAGATTTTTTAAAAATCTGAAAATTTTCTTGGTAGTCATTTATTTTATAACAACTTGACCCAAACATATGTGACTCACCCTAAAATACATGAATTAAAAAAAAATCTAAGCTTATCAAACAGATAAAGTAGATGTGATTATGATTTTTTCTTTTTTTAGAAGGGCTCTTCAACTCTTCAAAAAAGATTCTCCAAGTGAGAATTTAAAATGGGATTTTAGTTCTAAAAAATACATTCTAACACAATACTCCTTGGGTTCAAACCTGCATAAGAAGCCCTTGATTTTAAGGTTGGCCTATATAAAAAATAAAATAAAATTTAACCAGTAACGGATCTATAATGGTTCTCTGTTCCAGTGAAAACACTCACTGACAGTTCCTCTGATGGAAAGTAGATGTATATGTATTTTAATTGTTTTCTTTGCCCTAGACTCCTACATTTCCCACTTGCTTTGGCAGCATGAAGCAAGTTAAGCAAAGCTGTGTAGAACTTCATCTGTTTATTACTTTAAAATAATACATGGACAGTTCTCACAAATACTGACTTCCAAATCTAAACCCAAATTTCAAAAACTATCAGATAATGGTATATAATTTTAAAAGGGTAAATATATTCCTAGTTGTCTTAAAAATCTGACTATTGTACCTCCTCTCCCAACTTCCTCTCCCTTTGGTGTAACTTGTTCAGGTTTTCCCCTGGAATATTTTCTTAAAATGCATGCATTGCTGCTGAGAGGGCACCCTCTCCTATACCAGGTCTCCAAACATGATTGTATGACATAAGATCCCAAGGCTCATGCTTACCCTCAAAAGACCTAACCTGGGATGACTAGGGTCGGATGAGTCACACTCCTGCCCCTCACTCATCCATACACTCCCACTATGGAAACAGCATGGGGGGAAAAGCATGGGATTTGGTGTCTGATGGCCTCATCACCCCTCACTTAAGTGTTTGATGTGAACCCCAGTTTTCCCCACCTGTATGTCCTTTGCTGGTTGATTGTGAGGATTACATAAAAGAACAGATGGAAATGACTGAGCCCAATCTCTGGCAAAAGGCACTTAATGACTGACGGCTCTTGCATGGTCCAGTGGATAGCCCCATGCCTCCTATTCAAGAATTGTCTTCAAAGGGTTTTATGAATTCTCCAGCATCCGAAAAACTGATTATGGCTAATTAAAAAACTTGTTCAGTGCCATATGATACCATAATGACTGAGTAGAAATCAACCTTCTCAACTCTAGAGCATCTATCAAATGTTTCCTCATGTTTCCAGTCTCACTGACATCTGTGTCATCGCCAGATCACAAGCACACGTGACCTCTCTTTGCCAACAAAATGTGTGTGTGTGTATCTTTAATTCCAACTTATCAAATAAGTCAGCAAATGGGGCTGAAAGTGTAAGGTGCCTGGCAGGCACCCTCATTCCTGAACAATTTCCAGGAGACACCTCCTGGGAGAGGGCTGTCGGTAGTTCTGAACCTGTTGGCAAACCACTCTGTTCAAGGCAAAGTTGTTAGATGTTTTCTACAAAACACATGGCAGTTTCCCTCTGGTTACTTTTGTGCCTGCTGAGGCTCTCTACACCTCAGTGATATTGGTATCACTGCTGTCTTTGTCCCATCATATTACAATAATAATGCAAAAACATTTAACCACAAGCACAAAATAGAGTTCAAAAAAGGGAGAAAAAGAGGAATTGCTGTGGTTTATCTGTTTGAACATTCCCTGATTTCAACACATTTATCAAAGCTTAAGTAATTTACGTCTTGGCAGGGTATATCAATTTCACAAAGCACACACATTAGCTGGATACAATGGTATCATATTAGCTTTTTCTGCATCTTACAGAAGAGCTCGAAAAGATTAATAAAAGCTCAAACCTTCATCAATTAAATGAAGCAGGTGGAAGGAAGGGAGTAGAGGAAGAAGACTGGATTTCATTTTGGTTCTTTTGTTTTCAGGGGGAAAAAGCTGACAGGTTCAAATCATTCATCATAACAAGCTGGAGTTGAATTTCACTGATAATTAAGTGCATTTTTTCCCAAGAGGCAGAGAAGCTGCAATGAATTTTATAGTAGCAGATGTGAGAACTGTCACGAATTATGGAAATAATTTATAAACTAAAAACCATCTTCCTCTGCAAATACTATATCAGAAGATCCTTTTTTCAACTGTATCTATTATGTATTTTCAGTAAAAATTTTATTTTACAATAATTTTGTTTACAGAAAAGTTGTGTAATACAAAGAGTTGCCATATACCCTACGCCAAATTTCCTATGTTGTTAATATCTTGTGGCAACTAATGAACCGATATTGACACATTATTATTAACTAAAGTCCATGCTTTACTCAGATTTCCTTATTTTTTTCCCTAATGTCCTT